GTCTCGGTGACCTCCTAACTCCTTTAGAACCGAATTGAAAATGCGTGACGGCGCGATCGTCTCAAATCTTGGACGAACGTGCTCGGATTCTTCAACGAACGTGCCAACTTCTCGAGTGCGTCCGTGTCTGGCGACGAGCGATCCCGCGATAAATGGCCTCCTCTGGAACTCGGCCTCGAGTGCCGTCTCTCTCGTTTGTTAATATTTATCGTCCCGTTTTTTTTTTTTTTTTTTTTTTTTGGCTTAAAAACCGGCCGGGTAATTTGCCACTCGTTTGCGAAAACGAGCGACAAGGATTGGAGCGCGTGGCGACTCGAGTGGAAGTTCGTCTCGAGAGGACACTCGAGCCATCGTGACACAGAATGAAAGCAAGGTCACTGACGTCCGACACCGACTGGAAGAAATTACCCGAGGGACGATTTTACGAGCCGGGTCTCCGTGTTTGCCCGGTTTGCTTTCTGCAAATAGAAAGAATATTAGTCCTCCTCCGCCGAGGAGGTTTGCCAACCTTGAACCTGAAGCGGCTGACGTCGAGCAGACCGAAAAGGAAATACAAGAGAGAACATAAGACTTTGGCAAAATCAACAAGTTGATTAAATACTTCTCCGAGTATTTCAAAGCCAAGTTGATGTTTTTCTTAATTTTAAGTGGTAATTTTTCCCAAGCTGATATTTATCACTTAGTATATACCGACAGAGATGACGTTTCACTTGGTTTCCGGCTCGACGAGAAACTGCTATCGAAACTCGTACGATCGGTGTCGACAGCCAAGGTCACACGCCTAACAGGCTTGACAAATTCCTGCCCGAGTGTTAATCGGTGTCAGAAACCCTCCCGTTGCTGGGGGATCACGTGGTGTTTCGTGGTCTGTTTCTGATTGAATTGACGTTACCGTTACGCGCGGTAGTGAAAAATATGTCTTCGACGGAATTCACATTCCGCCGCCTCTGCGATACCTTTAACCGCGAGTCGAAACGAGTCGAAGCGAGTCGAAACGAGTCGGCCTGCGTTTCCAGCGACTACCACTCCTCGGGATAGAAAGTGGCAAACTGGATGACTCACGGACAGCTTGCCACGCTGTCAACTGTGCGACTGTTGACAAACGCCCGCCTCGCGCGCAACCGAAGCAGAGTTCACGAGGCAGAGGAAGAAGAAAACACGGGGACAAAAGATGTCGGTGGACTTGGCCGATTGAGCGAGATTCGTACGCGACTTTCGTCGAGATTTCGCGCGGTCAGCGAGCGATCGACCGATGCAGCGCGCAACATGGAGTCCGCGGTAGCGTGCAACAAGCAGGCCGAGCGCCGGCGATCTACGCGATCGTCGACCTCGAGGAATCGGTTTTCCTCACGAAACATGCGCTCGGACGCTTTCTACGCCGGCGTGGAACCGTTATCCGTTCGACGCGCGTTGCATAATTCCGCCGGCCCAGACCCACATACGAATTCCGCTCCGAATTCCAGCGGATCGACGGAACGCGTTAAGAGGCAGCCGTTAACTTCCGCTCGTCCGACCACCGCGCAGGAACACGTTCGTCGTGAACTATTCTACACGATCCCGCGAGACGTGGCGGTCTCACGAAGGGAGATCCTGCGGAGATGCAGCAAGGAGAAGGAGGCTCGTCCCTCCTCCGAGTGGAGGCTCGTCGTCTCCGACAATCTCGACGAGGAGCAACGTGAAAGACCGAGGACTCTACCGTCCATCGCGAGAAGATCTCGCAGAGAGGCAACGAGCAAAGGTGCTGCGGTGTCTCATTCAGGGGTGCAGGGATACAGAAAGGTCTCCAGGCAGGACATATTATGCAGGAGAGCGAGCGTGGACGCATCGGTGGTGGGCATTTCACGTGGAAGGGGAGCTGGCGTTTCACCAGGCCAGGAGGAGAGGATAGAAAGTTCAGAGGCGAAAGGTGCCGCGTTCGCGAGATCGTCGGCCGGCCGACCGAGGAATGTCCCGAGGCCGGGAAACAGGTGGCCCGGGTGGGGCAGAGAGGACGAGAGAGAGTCCAGGTCGGTCTGCGATTTCCTGGCAGTGACCAGCAAGCTGCAGGACATTACCCGCGGCCTTGTGCCGAGACCGTCGACCTTGCCCAAGATAATCCACCACGCGTCGCGATCGGCTAGAATCGGAGGGGATGATTGGAACAACCCGAGGCTGGCCAAAGACGCGGTGAGAAAGGAGCCGCCTGTCTACGGAAGGATACGAAGGAGGAAAACCTCGTTGCCCTCCAACGGCGGCTCGGTCGTGTCTCTCAACACGCTGACCAGAACCGGATACCCAAAACCCGGCAGCATCCGCATCAGAGAAAGAGCCGTGGACGTGGAGTTTCGAACGACCACCAGACACCTTCGCGATCCGGTCCCCGACACGCCGTACTACTACTCGGCCACGTTGCCTCTCGTTGCCGACATGAGAACGAATCCCCAGCGAGGCGCGATCTACGCCAAGGTGTCACGAAGAACGTCGAAGAGCCGTCAGAACACCGAGAACAAGGTCCAGGTGACGAGAGACGACAGTGTCGATGGGATCGAGGGTGAAACGAGCACCGGTCGCAGGACCATGTCGCGCAAGAGGATCATCGAGAACACGAGAGACAGCTACGGAGGAGGAGGAGGATCGATTAAAATTCAATCGGATGGATTTCAGAGCGAGGGCCGTGGAAAGAGAGAATCGAACGAGACGTCGGGCGTCGAATCGAATCGAACGAGAGAGTCGGACAAGTCGGGCGCCAGCGAGGAAAGTGGAGGCGACAGGCGTGATTTTCGATCCAAGGATGCGACCCAGACGAGCAGATCCAAGCCTGCGCGGGTCGAAAACTTTCGCTCGACGCAACGAGAGATCGGCACGGCGGCCAGGTCGGCGACTACTCTTCCCAGTTGCGTGAAAAGTTCGAGAAAGTACTCGATGGAAGGCACGCCGGGTCCGATCGACTGTCCGAGGAAACTGCCCAAAGAGACGAGCGTCTCGTCGAGGCGTGGCAAAGAGCGGTCAAACTACGTGAAGAAGTCCGCGAGAAGCCACGTTAGGGCGTACAGCGACGCGAACAGCGGCCGATCCAACTCGCCGGTCGCCACGTCCTCGATTTTTGGATTCTGCACCGGGAAAAGGAAAGTTCAGTCCTCGTCGAAGGTTGAATGTGCCTCGACGTGTCCGACGTGGAGCGTGGAAACGGTTAGGATAAAAAAACCTTTTCCTTTTTTTGTTTTTTTCTTGGCAGAAAAATCTGCGGAAATACAGCGATAACAATTAAAAATTGTGTGATGTAACTTTGTAAGAAATCACAATAGCAATCCGCTTGATGTCATTTTTAAAGAGCGAAGCTTCTATTTTTAATAGTCGCGAGTTCGTTTCTTTCGAAGATGATTTTATCCTATCGCCGAGGACACGTTTTTTCCCTCGAAAATTGTAAAAATTCAAACGTGTGTAAAAATATTAAAAATTTCTACCATTTTTTTCTTTATTGTTTTATTAAACGTTGAGTGTATTAAGGTTAAACGACAAAAATTTGAAAATTCCAACATTTTGTCATCCGACCCTGTTCCAAATGGTGAAAGAAAAAAATCGCACAGCGAGTTTCAAGAGGTCGTTGCAAAGAAAAGATTTCAATCTTCAAGACCGTGATAGATTCAGAAGAAAAATTTCTTAACGTTTTCACACGCGTTTGAACTTTTATAATTTTCGAGAAAAAACGTGTGCCTTCAAATTTTCAGCCGCTGCGCGACGATGGAAAATCATTTTCGAAAAGAACAAATCCAGCATGAAGCTGTCAAACTAAAAGTTCCACGCTTTAAAATGAAACCAAGTGGATCGTTATTGAAATTATCGACAATTTCTTTATTTTTTATTACTATTGGTACAGCTATGCTCTTCGCTGCAGTTGTTTCTTTCGGTTCTACTTCGAGATGGATACAAAGAATCGTTGAAATTCCAAGTTCGATTTTTTAAGATTTGTGTTACGCCGAGTAATTCCACGATGTATATGGAATTTCCTGGAATTTTTTAATCAATATCTGCGAAAAGATATCGCTATTCGTTTCATCGAGAAATCCTTTAAATATTCAAGAATATTCGTTTGCTTTCCATTCGCACTGACCTGCAAATCGAAATCCAGACGAAAAACAGGAGAACACGATACTTGAACAGAGTATCCACGCGAATTTCATTCTATCGATGATCGAAGTATAAAATTTTAGTAGCAAAGGAATGAGAGAGAAAGAAAAATCGTGCATCTGAAAATACACTAATCACAAAATTCCAAATTGATCGTTCCGATTCATTCTGGTAGTTCTATAGTCTGTTAAATCGTTGAAACGTCTCTTCTATCCGAAAGTATCTTTCTCTTTTCCAGGGTGAATTGGTGTGGTTCGACCCGGGCGTCGGCCACGTATTGCCAGGAGAGGTTTTAGAATACCACAGGGCCGCCAACGTTCTCTCGGTGCAAGCAGTGATCGCCGGCAAGGTATGGAAATCAATCGACGGTGTGAAGAAAAGAAAAAAAAAAAAAAAAAAAAAACATGCGATAGAAAGAAACTTGTCCAGATGGAACACGTTCTTTCGCGAGCACCGCGACGACGACTGGAAAGAGGGCAAAAGCTCGAGGCGTTGTAAATTATTCGTGGCCGGGAATAAGTTATGCAAGATCTGTGACACAACCTCGATTATGATGCACGAGCCAGAGAGACGCGTCCCTTGCATCCGCGGCTCCTTTCTTTCCTCTCTCGCCACAAAGATATCGGCATATTTACCGTTTGTCCCGCGTTTTTGATGAGTCGAACAGCGAAATCACTCCTCTGACGTTATTATCTCCACCGAGGGACAAAAGGAACGCGTTAGAGAGTCAACGCTAGCCAGTCAACAATGCTAGTTGGCCACTTCGAGGCCAAGGAACAACCGGTTATTCTGCATTTCCTTAAAACGAGCCCCGCTTCGGGCGGTCGGCTCGACGTTCCATTGACTTTTCGCTAGGATAATTTGGCGTGGTAACAATGGCAAACGGTGACTGCTAACTGTACTGATTCGTGGTACTAGCGTGGGTGGCTGAAGATATTAACTTAACGCGCAGGGTCGAATAAATCGCGGTCGCGATTTTCCTCCAATTTTTAAGTAAACGTCGAAAAAATATTACTCTCACGTGCCTGTCTGCATATATATTTCAATTCGTAGTCGAATTACTTTAACAAGTGTAATTTGAATATTAATGCCAAATCTGTTAAAACGACAGTCCAAGAAACGTGCTTACTTATTTCGACTCGTAGTCAAGCGATAGTAAATTGTATTTCTGATAAGTATAATTTGAATATTAAAGCTGAATTTCTTAAATAGAAATTGAATCGATCGTAAAATTATAAAGCGACAGTCCGAGAAACGTGCTTAGTTGTTTCGACTCGTAGTCAAGCGACAGTAAATTATATTTCTGATAAGTATAATTTGAATATTAAAGCTAAATAAATTAAATCAATTAATAAATAAAATTACAAAACGACAGAGAAACATGCTACAAGTGATAGTGGCGGTATTTCTAACACGTATAATTCGAATATCAAAGCTAAATTTCTTGAATAAATTAAATCAATCATAGAATTATAAAACGACAGTCCGAGAAACACGCTTTATTTCTTTCCCGCTTCCAACAAGTATAATTTAAAGCTGAATCTCTTAAATAAATTAAATCAGTCGTAAAATTATAAAACGACAGTCCGAGAAACGTGCTTACTTATTTCGACTCGTAGTCGAGCGACAAGCCACACCTTTCTCATTTTTTTTTTTTTTTTTTT